TTGCAAAATTAAATAAAAATCAATAAATAATATTTAATAATTATAATAACTAATAAACTACAAAAACAACAAAAATAATAACTAATTTATATTCAGTTAAGCAACATTAACTCAGGAGCACAATATATAAAACACTTAGCTTTCGGGTGACTTTCTTTTGTCTCGTTATCTTTGTCTCTTTCCGCATTTCTTTTCATCCCTGTTAAAAACTTTGTCATGTTGGGGTTGTTATGTTGAATAACGGAGGCTACATACAGAACACAGATGCTAACCGAGGCTAACCCGTTGTCTTTTAAGCCGTAAAATGTTGCACTGAAGTAACGATGAGAGCGCCACTGCCCCCTACTGGAGTGGATGCGCAATTACACTTTATACTAGTACGTCCCAAAAAAAAAAGGCCTTTCCCCAGGGGAACACGCCCCCCCAGGTATCGCACCGCCCCACTATTTGAGAAGCACTGCCTTAGTGTGAGTGTGAGGGATTGTTGGTCCTTGTGTGTCTCTGTGTGTCCCTGTGATGGACTGGGGACCGTCCAGGGGGACCCCGCCTCTCCCCATTGGCTACTGGGATAGGCTCCGCCCCCCCCAGACCCCATTAGAGCAGTGTTTTTCAACCCCTGTGCCTCAGTACACTAGTGTGTATCAGAGTGATGGTCAGGTGTGCCGTAGAAAATCATCCTATTTCACCTAATTGGTCTAAAACGATTGTTTGATAAGGAATTAATTATCTGCAAATAATTTTTGAGTGTCTTTGCTGTAGTAGTGACTGGTGGAGTAATCATGTAATAATTCCTTATGACTAGATTTTGTATATAATTTTATATATTGAAGTGGACATGAAATATAAAATATGATAAAAATACATTTTTGTGTTTATTTGATTCCTATCCAAGACACATAAGATAAGAATAAAATAAGAATAACTATAGTGTTACTATAGATATATAGATATATACTACAGATTTGTTTAACATTTTTGGTTGGTGGTGTGCTTCGTGATTTTTTTTCAATGAAAAAAGTTACCTTGGGTCAAAAAAGGTCGAAAAACACTGCCCTAAGAAATGTAGAAGCTTTATTTTTTTATTTTCTGTTCAGTCAAACAGGGGTTACGAGCCAACCAGCCAACTTTCTGCTCAACAATAGAAGAAGAAGAATACTTTATTTATTGATCTCACATGGAGAAATTACTTCCAGTACAGCCCTTACCAAGATCAAACAAACAAAACACATAGACACACCAGTTCAGGAAGACCAAATAAAAGTCACAGGATCCAGTTTCATTTCAGAAACAAAAGGGAAAATTACACACCTGAAATGAACAATCCGTAAAGCCGCCATGTTGGATGGAGAGCAGGTTTTTCCTAGTGGACGTTGTGGTGGAAATTTTATTTTGAAGCAAAAGTCTGAGTCCATCTGAGGAAGTAAGAAATAGATTTATTAAAGGGGAAAAAAGGGAAATGGAAAACTTCATGAAGTGAGAGCAGCCAGCAGGATCATACAAGTTGTTCATATGAGGCACCAAACTGCCCCAAAATAAAACAAATGAAGTCTGAAATAAGACGTGAAGTCTGTCCTTCCTCCTGCATCTGTATTAAACAATCCTCCGGACAAAAGTTTGTTAATCAAAATATGAGGAGACCTGGTTTCTCTGAGCCCTCAAAGGAGGAAAAAACCTTTAAAATCTTCAATTGTGGAAAGTTACCAGAGATAAATTAAGAAAGTGATTATACATATATTTGTTTCCCTAACAACGTGGAGCAGAACTGTCTCAGAAATAGTTTTTCTGCAGTCGGTTTTGCAAAAACTCTTCAAGATTCAAAATTTACCAGCAGAAATAAGCAGCAACGGATGTTTGAGGCCCTTCACACGATTGGCTCAGACATAATCTTTTCTCTTTTGTTTCTGAAATAAACAAGATGCTTATTACTTTGTGTGTATTCCTAATAAAATATAATCTGTTGTCTTCATGTTCCAGGAGGAGTTGAGGATCAGCTCTGTGTATTCTGTGGGTGGAGGAGGCACTTTTACTTCCCCTACCAGTGAGTTTATTCTCCCAGTTTGTGTATTTTGCTGTTAGTGGAGCCCTGTGTGTGTTGATGTAAAGAAGGATCACACTAAAGACTAATATTGTGTCTACTCTGTAAGTCGCTTTGGATAAAAGCGTCTGCCAAATGCAGAAACATAATCAACATAAACATAAACAAAACATGCCTGTTATTGTTGTTCTCAAATCTGAGAAATCATATTTTTGGTTTTTATTTTTGTTCTTCTTCTCTGGAATAAAGTGTACAGATTAATACAGCAGAAACTCTGCTTCTGATGTGAAATTCGATCAAACATTTGACTCAACACCCGATTTAAATTTCCAACATACCCCAAAGTCGTAGAAAAAATAATTAAATATAAGAATAACTATTGTAAGTTGGTGTAAAGTTCGTGTCTAAAGTCAGAGTGAGTTAGGGCTGGACCTGTATCTCAGTCTCCACCTCTACCTCCGTTCTTCAGTCTCTGAGCTAAAGGGACAATAAAAACCCTTTTTATTGATTATTTCTTTATCATTTATTTATTTTTCCATCTCTCTTCTAGAAGTCATTTGTTATATTGCTATGTGTGATCATCTGCAGTATTTATTAACCCTTCAAAGCCTGATCCAAGAAAAATAGGAAGAATATTGGATTTTTTTAGTCTAAAGTCTTTCTTTGGCCCCTCAACAACATATGAAGAAAAAAAACCTGTGCAATAAGTTCAATTCAATTCAATTCAATTTTATTTATATAGCGCCACATCACAACAACAGTTGTCTCACAGCGCTTTCCAAACAGAGCAGGTCAGACCCTACTCCGAAGTTAACTACAGAAACCCAACAATTCCCACAACAAGTAAAAAATATATGTTGGTGTAGTCTTCTACTGGCTGTTATCAGGTATATCTGAATGTGTACAACAGGGGTTTGAGCAAAGCTTTTACCACTGAATGATGCAAAAAGTCTCAGATCCAAAAGAAACCGGATCAGATATGACACATTTGGCTTTATAGGGTTAAGGAGTTATCTTAGGTTTTTGGAACCAATTCTAGGAATTACAGAGTATTCTGATGGAAAATTTGAACCAACAAACCAATATTTAACACAGAAGTTGCTCCTGGAACCAGTTAGA